GTACTTAAACACAGACAGTAGCAGTTAGGGAAGCTGGGAAAACTGATAAATTCATGATTCTCCTAAAACTAAGAAGGTTCTAGAGCTCCACGTAGATGTTAGAAGGATGACGTGTCTTCCATAATCAGGGCATGGATGACAGTATGTTCTTCAAAAATGGACTATATTCTGCAAAAATAGACTAAGCTACTGAGTTTGTGTGGAAATTATATTAGTTTGATGACTTCCTACAGTAAGTATTGCTCGTAGATCCATACGGATCTCAATATGGTATCAACTAGTAGAGTGACACCTGCTCAGACTGTTATCATTTGGATCGGTCAAGTCCCCAAAAGTTCATGTGCCACTAGCTCAGTCCCAAGTCTGGCAGTGTTGAAAGGTGATGGATCTTTAGGGGTGGGTGGACTGTCCTCGGAAGGGATTAATGTTGGCCTAGCAGAGTAGGTGGGGGCAGAAGGACTGGGTTAGTTCCTGTGAGAAGCCAGCTATTTTGAGAGACTAGTTAATGACAGCCTTTACCTGGACTTGTTTCCTTGCTCACACTCATGCCTCTTCTGCATATGGCCAACTCCCTTTCCTTTTGCCCATCATGTTGCCTTGCAGCCAGGATGTGGGCATCATAATGTTCAAACCTTCCAGACAACATACCAGTGAGCCAAATAAACTTCCTGATCGAATACAATGAATCTGATGAAAACCCAGGCTAAAGAGTAGTCCTGTTCATGGTAATCACATTAAACAGCCTTAATCTTTCCTTAAACTATCACTCAGAGACTACTGATATTTTCCATCCCAAAATATGTGGACTGGAACAAAGTGATTTCCAATTACTTTTTGAAAACATCCAAAAAAGGAGATTTCAATAAAGCATAATCTAAAAAGGGAAAAGCATGAAGAATTTTCCATAGTAATAATACTGCTGCTAAATTTAACATGCTGCTTGAAAAATATCCCCCATCAGGCGCCAGCACCAACACCACCACCATCATCACATTGTTTACTGGCAGAATAACAGCAAAACAGCCTCCTCCACAACATGGCAATGTAAACGAGTGCATGTAAACTGGCAGAACTGTTCAGTCACATCATGCCACTGCACCAGCCAGGCTCTGGGCTCTCTACTCTCCTTGCCACTTCACCTCCTCCTTCAGGTGGCAAGTCACACATCACTTGCTCACAGGTCCTCCCTGTCTAACCAATCCACACTGATGCTCCAAGGCAGAGTTGCTTGTGTAGTCACAGGACTCTTCATTGTCTGCTCACTCACTGGACAGTAAGGCTCCAGTTTACTGCAGTCTCGCCAATACCTGGCATGATGCCCAGCCATGGAAGGTGCTGAATAAATATTTGTTGAAAAAAATGGGTGAATAAATTAATAGGCTCTATGTCTATGTAACAGATCTGCCAGAAGTAAAAGAGAGGAATTTTGGTTTTTTTTTTAAAAGCACATTATATAATCAGAGAAACACCTGTATTATTCCAAGAGCAAATATGTACACAAATACAACAGTATATACAACAGTAGCACACCATTGCCATCCTAATCTGCCTTTGCTTTGAATAATGGCATGCATACATGGGAGACTCATGCTCCAGTTTCACAGCTGTTGCCCCAGGATTGTGGGACAGAGGAAAAAAATATAGTCAAAAAGCACATGTTCAAATTTTAACACACACACACACACACACACACACACACATGCACACACACACACACACACACACACACACACTCTCCCGTCTAGAAATCTCACTTTACAATTCAATGAAGATGCACCTTTCATTACCACTCAGAAGTAGAGGCAAACTACTATCAATTCAGGCCAAGAACTTTTTGTCAGGTACACTACACACACTGGTATTCTTAAAGGAGAAGGAAACCAGCCCAGAGACTCAGAAAGAGAGGATCTCAGAAAAGCACCAGAGAAAGAGAGTCTGGAGTAGAGTTAGCACATGTCAAGAGAAGCCAACAACCACTTCAAATCAGGACAGGCTAAATAAAGAGCTGTACACTGATGACTGAGGATTAGAAAGTACACACACAGGAATGAATAGATAATGGTGTCAATGGGAAAAGTAAACAAAAGTTTTTGAGTTACAATCCTATGAACCACAGATGCTATTGGGGTCAGGGAAAATGGTAGGGCTAGGCACCAAGTCACTGAAATATATGGAGTAGTAGACTGTAGGTTTGCAAGCTCAGCAGAAGTTGGGGAAGAGGTAGTTTGAGTAAATACGGTAAAAATGAGACAGGAAAGCAGAAGTAAATACGGTAAAAATGAGACAGGAAAGCAGCAGAATAAATTCATTTGTAGTTCCACAAACTCTTTTTGGAAGAGACCCAAAAGAAAGTAATAAGGATACATTACTTCACAATCAGGCTCAGAAGGATTTAGGAGGGAGCTCAGTGGTAGACTGCTTGCCTGGTATGCACAGGCCTGTGATTCAATCCTAAACATCATACACTACACAAGAACGCAATCAGATTCAGATACATAAGTGGCTTTGCTCACAGCGTAATGGGGCTCCAAAGCTAAAGGACCAACAGAACAAATTCAGCAGCAGGAGTAGCAAGGCCATGCTGGCTAGGGATGTAAGATTGTTAAAGACCAGAAGGAAATAAGGTTTGAGACTCAGGTCCTAGGATCATGGAGTGCAAAGGTGGCAGACTCTACCTAGTCACTACACAAACCATAATTCAGTACAAGGCTCTCAAGATCAACGTACAAAGACAGACAAGGTCAAGTCAGCACTGGATAGTGATCAGCTCACAATAAATATGCTTCATTTAGCTGCCTACCTTGTCCATGGCTGGGTGACCCAGGCTCAGTCTATCAGATTCTCTTGTCTGAAAATTTGAAACTTTTAGAAGAGACAGAAAAGGTACTTGGGAGTCCGGTCACTTCATACTAAAGAAAACTCATGTTAACTACCATTGTTTCTGCTTCTTTCCTCTACAAAACTTGGCTATTCAACTTTTCTGATTCTCAGAGCTACTTCTAACTTTATCCTATCATCATTTTTTAAACTTTGGGAATTTTGTAGCCAGAATTTCTGTTGCTTATTTGACTCAACTTAACTCCTTCCTATACTCAGTAAACTGAGAAGCCTGAAGCCTTGGAGAGCTATTTTTCCCCAGGCTAAGACAAAAGAAATCAAGCCCAAAATCTGGTTTCCCCTACTATTAGTACTATTGGTAATATGTTTAAAGACAGACCTAGACAACTAACCAAAAAAAAATGTATAACTGACAACAGAAACTAGGCATAAAAAGAGGAAAAGCAGCTGGGCTTCTCCTAGGAGCCAAGTTTTTACATTATATCACAAAACAAAGTTTGAGTAATCAAAGCAAGATCTCCATGATTTTCAAGCATCAGCCCTTCTATCAATATAAAACTTACGATTAAAAAAATTAAATATAAGAAGGAACAGTAATACAGATTAAAAAGAAAGATAAATTTCCAAAAATACACAAAACTTTTAGGAACAAATCTATAATACTAAAATCTTTCTGTCAAGGCAGGAGGTACAGTTCAGCAATACAGTGTCTACATAGTAAATATGAGGCTTGATTTTAACCCCAATTACTGCAAGAAAGAAAGAAGAAGAAAAGAAAGAAAGAAAGGAAGGAAGGAAGGAAGGAAGGAAGGAAGGAAGGAAGGAAGGAAGGAAGGAAGGAAGGAAGGAAGGAAGGAAGGAAGGAAGGAAGGAAAGAATTCAGACAGAAAGACAGGAGAAATGGTACTCATGACATGCTTAATTCTTTTTTAAATAACTTTTTTTATTGTGAAAATACTGTACACAGAGGGGTTATAGTTACATGAGCAAGATAATGAGTACATTTCTTATCAAGCATTGTTGCCTCCTGACATACTTACTTCTTAGAAAAATCCACTATCTGTCTTGGTTTCCTTCTGCAAGTATTTTTGGACTAAAAAATATTCTTTACCTTTACTTGACCACTTCCAAGATTTGTTGCCATTTTACCTTCTTCGTTCCTTAGAATCTCTGTAAAACTGGATTTACTTAGTTTCCCTAATAAAAATGTCTTTTTCTCCCTAAAATACTTATTTCTTATTTTAGTCAAAGCTTGTCTAGTGAATATTAACCTTCCCTTCCCCAATTGCTTAGTGCTTTATATTATTCTCTCCCTATTTGCTCACTGATAGAACACTCTAACTGGTAAGGTTATGATTATCTCCAGGTTCTGATTTAGGAACAGCACACACTTGATTCCAAAGAGCTACCACTGCTTTCTGAATGTTAGTTTGCAGTAAAAATGGGAACCAAAACTTAACTTCTTCTGGATGGTCCAGGCCAGGGATAAAATGTACAGCCATTGCCTCAGGTGAAATACCACAGGTAAATATCATTATTCATAGAAAAGAAAACCGTATTATACATCAAAAAAACATTCTAAGAACATAAAAAACTTAATACATGTAATATATCAATCAGAATGGAAACTCAAGACCTGCCCTCTGCTTATATATCAGAAAACATATGAGACACTATAATATTGCTTTCAATTTATCATTCAATTCAAATCAAATTTCTTCCCATAACATATGTAAACAGACTTCTTATAAACACGTAACTTTACTTCATATCTTTCTTTCTTTCCATCATTTCATGGGCACAGCAACTGTAATTTAATTAATACACATTTATATCAAGACAATACAAAAACTCTTGAGCACATCATGTATCTTCCAATCACAACTACTCTAACTTGATAACACTAGTTGCCTCATATACTAAAGCAGTAGTTTCTAACAGGGCAAGCATTTGGGTCTGTTAACAATTGTGGAGATAGGGGAGTACAACTGGCTTTTGGTGGGTCAAGGCCAAGGATGTTGCTGAACATCCTGCAATACACAAGCCTGCCTCTCACAGTTGCTACCCCACCTCCAATGGTCACACATGAGAGGGAACAGCCAACTAGGAAGCTGTGAGTCACTGGTTTCCAAGGCCTGCCTGACTCTGCCAGGCCCACTTACCTTGGATGCCTGGGGTGTGGAGATTACATGGACAGTGCTGGGTTTGACGCCACTAGCCTTGGGCCGCTTATAGAGGGCAAATCTGCTTTTCCTCCGTCCTCTGTCTCCATTAGGTAAAGCACCATTGTACCTGAAAACAGAGATGAAAGAGCTCATTTTTTTGTTTTTGAAAATCTCAAAAGTTCTATGCATGAAGTCAGATGGGATAAGGGAAAAGGCAGGAATGGTCATAAATAGTTGCCTGCCAAACATCACATACAGAAGGCAAGGGCAGCAACGCAGAAATCAGCTGTAAGAAAATGCAAATCACTTCCAGAAATAATTTAAGAGCGATGTACAAGTAATTATAGGTTTTCTCCCCTATAAAGTCAGGCTCTCTAAGTCTTTTCTGAAAAAGTATAAATAAGCAAATGACTATTCTGTCCAGGCCTTATTATCACTGGTTTAATTCAACTAGCATCATCCTAATGGACCCCAGAGAAACACTTGAGAAATATTTTTAAGTGAACTAGTTAGAAAATAGCATACTCATTAAACCTCATCTCTCCCCAATCATGTTAATGATGTCTGTAAGATCTTTATTTGTAAGAAGACCAAACTGAGTTGCCTTAAAAAAATTTTTTTTTGAATTCTCTATACTCATTCCCATTTTCATTTGAACCCTACACTGTTGGAGTCACCAAAAAAGATCTTGAACACATCATACATGAGTCGTAGTCCAACAAGTCCAACAAGTCACACCATGCCTATACTTGTAGTTCCTTGGGAACCTAAGAGCAGGAAGATCATAGTTCAAGTCCAGTCTGGGAAGAAAAGTTCCTAAAATTCCCTTCTTAACCCAGGGCTAGGTGCAGTAGTATCTACCTGTTATTCTAAACCACATGGAAGGCTGAGATTGAGGGAGATTATAGTTCCAGGCCAGCCCAGGCAGAAAACTCCATAATACTCCACTTCAACAGAAGGTGGGCATAAAGGTGCATATATGTCATTCCAGCCACAAACAAAGCCTAAAATAGGCAGATCACAGCCCAGGTGCACTTAGGCAGGAAGACTTTATGCCAAAAATACAGTGTAAAAAGGCATGGCTTAGTAATAACGCTTTCCTAGCAAACGTGAGCTCAACATCCAAGTACCATCACCACAACAAAAAGTCACCAAAAAACACATTCTTGAAGTAGATTTTTTTTTTTTTTGGCTAATGTCAATGTTTAGAAGAAATGCATAATGGTAGCTAGTTGTTTCTATTTTCTAATACAGGCTTAAGCTATCCTTGGAAGTTTTTGACCTGTGTTACATGTTTCCTCATGGCATGACCACTGTCTATCTGAACTTTTGGCTGAAGTTCCTCTGAGGAAAAGAACAAGGGGCTAAGGGTGTGGCTTAAGTGATTAGAAAGAATCCTCCCTGGCTGGAGTTCAAATTCCAGGTCTGCAAAAACAAAACACGAGGAAAAAGAGTCACTTAAAATGTACACAGAGAAACATGGTTGCTTTAGTATTCCCTCAGAACATCAAAGTTAGGGGGCAGCTGGTGGCTGTTTCTGTTCTAAAGGTCTTGTCCAGACACCTGGCTTTCTAGTCCTGTAGCCCAATGCAAAGAGGTTCAAGGTCGCCAGTGTGGGGAAGGGAAGGGGGGTGTGAGGCCCACTGAGAATGTAGAAGCTGGAACAAAGGGGCTTATTTAGCATGTGTGGGTTTTAAGAGCTGAGTCAGTAGCTGTATCCAGACAATGGTTTTACAGTATCCCTGGAAGTTATTATCACTGTGCTTGCTCTGTTTCCCTGCCCCATCACAAAGGAATGTCAGCTATATAAAAATGCCTCTAGAATAAAGAGATGAGATATTTCAAGTCATTCCTCTCCCTTTTCTCAGGTGAGATCAGAAAAATGTACATTATTTTCTTAAGGGAATTTGTGATCACTGTTTTCATGAGTAAACGTCCATCATAAACTCACTTTGTTTTAAGATTTTTTTCACAGCACCTAACGCTAACATTCTACAATAAGGGAAACATATGTAAGCCAATTAAAAGCCAAGAGGAGAGTTGGAAGGACTTTTCACTCCTGTGGCCTAGCTATGACTAATGCAGTATTATCTGGCAATGGTTCCTCTGCCTCTCATCCTGACGCAGCCCTCCCCTGCATCTTGCTTTCAGCTACCCTCTTCCAGTCTACAGGACCTCACAAGGGCAATGGTAGCAGGTCCAACAGTAGTCCCTTCTCTGAAATCTGTCCCTTAACTCCCAAAGATGAGCCCAGCAGTGGGTCTGAATCTGATGGCCTCCTGTCACCCAGGACCTATCCAGTCAAACATGGAAATCTCATCCTCACTGGTCAGTAACATCCTCATCCTAAGAAAAATAAAACTGAGCCAAGGAACAACTAACTTGTCTCTTTGAGTGGATAAGAGATGGGGGGGGGGGGATGTCAAATTTGCACAAAGGCCAAAAAACAGAGAAAAGGATGAATGAAGCAGAGACAATAAGCAAATAAAGGTGGAAAGAGGATTTGTAAGGGTGCCTTAATGGCCGCAGCATACTGTTCATGAATTTCCCCTTTTTAAGTTTCAGCTAAGTCAGGCTAATATCTGCTATTTACAAGTTTGAAGCAACATCCAATATAAAGTGGGAGAAAAGCAGATACAAGTATCAACCTTAACACATGCAGAAAACATTTTAATTTAAATTGCCTGTTCATTGATGTACAGCTATTGCATGTTATGCAAATAATAAACCAGTCTACTTACAGGCTGTCTACTAACTTATCTAGATGATAATGGTATAAAAAAATCCTACTGGAAATAATTAAACTCATGGTGGAAAAAGCAATGTCAAGATAAGACAAGGTCCTAATTAGATTAAGCTACAGGACAATTCATTCAATATTTATAGTGCCAAGTATTAGAGGTACGATGATAAATATCAGCTTCCTACTTTCACAGAGCTCTCTGCTGCAAGGGAAGAAAAACACAAAAAACAGCTGTGAGAAAAACACATGGGACCAGCAACACAGAGCAGCACAGAGCTTGAGGAAGAAATCACTTGAACTTTCTTGAATCTCAGGTAGAAAACTAAATGCAGACTCCACAAACGACCAAGTGCTTCCAGGGGGGCAAGGCTGCAAGAGCTGAATTTCAAGAAGAGAAGCAGCAGCAGGAAAAGAAAGGAAAGGAGAGACAGACAGGGGCCAGAACTCAAGGGTACAATGTGTGTACCAATGATTAGAGGCACTGAGAGTCAGTAGAGAGGACTATATCAGAGGACAAGAGGAAGTATGTAGTTGTTGGAATGGTGTCCCTCTCCCAAGCCATGTCCTAGAATCTGTGAATGTGGCTTCCCAAAATAAGGATCTTTGCAATTGTAATCAAGAATCCCAGAAGATCAACGTAGATTAGAGGTGGGGCCCTAAATCCAATGGTGCATGTCTTGTGAATGGCACACAGGGATCAGAGTTAAGGAAGCACACACCAAAGACCACCTGGAGACACTAGAAGCTGGAAGAAGCAAGAAGGGATTCTCACCTAGAGCCTTGGTCTAGATGAAGGAAGCAATGGTCTGCCAGTATCTTGACTTCATACTTATGGCCTCCAGAACTCTAGGAAAATAAACATCTGTTGTTGGAAGCTACCAAACTTGTGCTAATTTGTTATGAAAGCTACAGAGAACTACAAAGGCCTGAAGCAAAGCAACAATGGGGGAAATAATTTGGAGTATTAGAGAAACATTTCACAGTTATTTTCAGGGTGAACATCAGAATCACCCCAGGAGGCTGTGGCCCATGAAATTCTGATTCAGTGGTCTGAGGTGGGCTCCAGGTCAGCACATGTACAAGTCTCCAGAGACAGTGTGCACATGTGGCCACAGTTGAGAACCCAATGCCGGTGACCTGTGTGGATGCACAGGATGAGAGACAATGCATGGCCTGGCTCTGGTGCTCAGGGACGACTAGAAATAGGAAATGGAATTATGGAGTTAATCAGAGAAGTCATGCAGGGGGAACTGGATAGGCAAGTCTAGAGCTTTGAAAAAGCCACAAATCTGGGGGCCTTTGTGGTAGAATGTCAGAGATAATCTTGAGAGTGAACCATCAAGACTGGTCAGGAATAGAGAGTAGAGGAAGGAAGGAGGCTGGGACAGTGCCTGGGAAATGCAACCATTATAGGAAATAACCCTTCTAGGAAACAGGGTAGGACAGGAAAATCAAGACCTGGAAGAAGTTGTATCTCAAAGACAGTATTCTAAGTGGTTCATCAAATCAAGTCAGAGCCTAGTCATGAGAATAAAAAGGCACAACCATGATCAGGAACAGAACAGGCTGCTGAAGACCTTACCCAAATAAGCAAGGCCTCCAATCCTTAGCTTTCCTTCTGACCCTCCACTCTCATTCCCATCTTCTCCATACATCAGGAATGATGAAAAAATGATGCACTTTTTCCACCTTTCGACTTCTAGAACTTGCCTATTCCCTCAGCCCAGGATCATTTGCTCTCTGCCCCATTTGATCATATGTCATACACCTAGCACCCTATTTCCTGAAAGTCTCGGTGGTTCTCTTGCCAATGAACACCACATGGTAGGTTAAATAGGACCACAATTCTCTGTTCTCTAAATCAGGGCTGGTCTCTACTGACTTGTGACTATCTCACCAACAGGATGAAGAGAAAGCTGACAGTCTAAAACTTCCCAAGCCAAGCATGGAAAAGTCTTGCAGTTTCTGCCTGGGTCCCTTGGGAAACTCAACTCCTCTGGGAGTGCCATGCTAAAGCAAGCATGAAAACATATGTACTCTAGTCTAGACAGGCATGCAACACAGCTTAGCCTGGCCTGCTAGCCTTGGCAAGCAGCCAAAGAACACTGAAGTCACTATGAACTCTATAGAGCAGCCCACCTATCAGCTGACCATCAAGTGACCTCCACTGACACCATGTGGGCAGCACTGACCAAACTGTGACCCACAGAAGTACACCATCAATAAGACAGTGTTGTTTTAAAGTACTTGTTTTTGAAGTTATTGCTTCTGCAGTCAATAATCCTTGGAACTCCAAAACCCCAAAACAGTTGGTGTGGTCTTACCCTCCCTGATTCCTAGCCTCTGCATTGACCCCGAATCTACTTCAAGTTAAGCACTTTCTT